GGTAACAAGAGAAATTTATGACTGATAGGATTCCTCACTGAAGATATATCAAAGGTTATCATATAAGTATAATGTAAAATACATTTTTTAACTGAATTACTCTGCCAATGAAGAAGGCTTTATTTCCATTGGTCTTGATATGTCCATTTGTGTGGTGGTTGGCAAGATTTATCAGAGCGTTCTTCCAAATTTTGATGAATTTTTTAGGAGGGACAGTAAATATGAAGGAGAGAAGTGATAATTACATTGTCAACGTAATTCAGGTCCCCTAATATTTTTAAGGTTTTATTTTATAAGTATTTTCTCTGTACTTTGGGAGTACTTTCAAGTTGTGCTTTATAAGTTTAGACGTATTGTATAAAACTGTTTCTTGTCTGAATACAATTATACTGGTATTTGCCTATCAGGAAACAGCTTTATCCTATTGTACATGTAAAATAATTATTTTTAGAAATTTAATGAAATTACATCTTATTCTGGTGTCACAAAATGATCAGATTACATCCTGATTTTCCACTAATGTAGTAATAATGAGATCTATAGAGGATGTTGACATTTTTAACAACTGACCATGATTCCACGATCTCAGAGTTAGAACTACAAGTGCCTTTACTAAAATTATTATCACCTACATTTATTATTACATTCTTTTTTTTATATTTCTTTTTAAGTTTAATTTAAATTTAATGGCAATTAAAAGTGGTATGTAGGCTGTCGTCTGCAGTTATAGTTGCACCAGAGAAAATAGTTCTAAATGACACTTGTCAAAAACATGACAAATCTTAATATCTTTGAATAATATATGTCTAATTGTGTAGATAGTTTATAGATAATGCTGAATTAGTGGAAATTACTCTGGCTAACAGTCATTGCTGATTAATTTTGTTGATTACGAAAAATTTCACTCTTTCTTCCATTTGGACTTGGTAATTTTTGACTGAGTTGATGAAATAAGCAGGCATTATTACAGGATATTAATACATGGCTCTGCTTGGTGTAAATGTTTCTTTATTAATGAACAGTTATCTCAACGGTAATGACTCCTGAGTAATTAATGATGATGAGGAGCAAAACTGATTTAGTGGATAATTATAGAAGATGGTTTTAGGTTTAATTTTTTATGCCATAATTCTTTCAAGGCTTCAGTATCTCCCACCATAACAGGGCGGTGAAATGCAATTTGTTTTGATAGTGTCATGTCACCATTCCCGGAAATTACCAGACAGGAGATTCAAGATGTTCTCTCAAATATGTCATAATTTGAATAGGGGCAGGTTTCACAAGAGAGCGTTTAGCCTGATAAATCGGTCTTAACTTTTAAACAAAAATTTGGCCACATTCAGAATAGTTTGATCCTCTGACTAAATAACTGACCCGGGGATCAAATATGGCAGACCCACTTGAAAGCAAAGCTGTATAATCCCCTTATAGTCTATCTCACCATAGGCACATCCCTGTAGGGGCCTAGCAATTAAAGCTAAATTAAAATGGCTTCGAGACTTAATTGCTAGGCCCCTCCAGGGATGGCGCATGTGGTAGGCGGGAGACCATTAAGGGATCATGTGGCTTTTGCTCTCAAGCCTGTCTGCCATATTTGATTTGTAGATCAGTTAATCTGAGGATCAAACTGTTCTTTATAGCAGTCCAGTTGAATTAAAATATTGCATCAACTATTTTATACCAAAAAATGCATCACTCATGACTTATTCTTTATTCAGTGCAGTGGATTAGGTTGTGTGTGTTTTGGACCAATTTTTGGGTCATATTTCTTTGGGGAAACCAGTCCCAAGTATTAATTATCCTCATGTACGTACTCTCAGCTTTTTTATGTTTGATGTTTAATGAGAAGTAGTGGATTGAGTAACCTGACTCAAGCATGCATTTTGTACAGTACATGCTCAAATGGCTTTCCATGACATGTTTTGTCTTTTCAAAAACTGGATCTTTTCAATTATGCTGTCCAGGCCATTTGTGTGAATTTGAGACTCGCACTTACTATAGTATCCTGGGATGCCATTTCTTGATTACAAAAAGATAATTTTACTGCTAGTTACCTAGTTACAAAGATTAAAGGATGCAAACTGGAAATTTAATTTTTATCAACCCTGTATCACATATACCATTGTTTATTATAAGGCTAATGTGATTTATCCAATGTGAAAATGGTAGAGGGTATATTGCAGCGTAAAATTGATACCAAAGTAATAATACCATGCAAATAGGCTTTAGCTGTCAATCCTAGTATATACTATTATTACTATTATTATTATTATTATTATCTTCAAAGCTGGAGCAAGTGCCTAATTTGTGTAAGTCAATTGGAAGGATTTTAATTTCTTTTTTTTTGGTATCATAATGTTAGTTAAATTTAGGAGTACAGTGTAGGAGACTCCTGCAGAAACTTAATATGCTTTACAAAATTGCCTTGGGTTAACCTTATTTTTTCTAACTAACCAACCTGTGGTCATCCTTTCCTGACACTCGGTAACTCTTTAACAATCCCCAAAACTTAAAAAGTCCTTAACCCATGTTTAAGAGATTGTTTTACAAAGTCCACTATCCCTTCAAGTTCAATTAGCACACTATCTTACAGATTCTGCATGATTTTAAACTGTGTCAAGATGGTTGATGGAAAAGTTATTTAGAAGATGGCAAAGTTTATTATCTTTTGTGACATGAATTTGCATCATTTCTCTTTTAAGATATGATCAGAAAGTATTACTAGGCCTAAGATGACTTTAACAATATCTGGTTCATGCTTAAGTTTAACTTTAAAATCTTGAAATTTGTTACTTGTAGGCCCCATTCAGAATAGGGGACTATAACTAGTCTGAGAGTCAAATATGGCAACCCACTAAAAAGCATGCCATCTAATCTGCTAATAGAAACTGAATAGATATTCCATGGGGAAGTATTCAAGTGGGTTGGCCATATTTGACCCTCGGACTAGTTAGTCCCGTGTTCTGAATGGGGCTTTAGACTAATAGCCTATAACTTAAAACGTTATGGATGGATTTGATGAAATGTTCCAGATAGGTCAGAAACAGGCCAGCTTAAAATCAATCAGATTTGGGTAGTGATTAATTAATTGATGATATATTATGATAATTGAGCTGCTTTGGCAGATGTCTGCACATTCTGAATGCTTTACTAGTTATTTTTTTTTATTTACCTTTAATTTTTCATGGATGAAAAATGTGTTTTTTCACTCGTGCATATTCCTCATCTTGCACAGATCTAGAGCATAGAAAGCAGTGGACTCCACTTTGAGATGTGTTCTGTTCTGGGTAAGACATGCTATTAGGGTTTTTGTCAATCTTGTCTGTCAGATAATCTGAGCAGGACAATTGGTTCCCTGGAGATAATTTCCTTACGTGCCAAGATGGTTGATACTGGGACACCTCGTATCTGCTGACAGTGAATACTTACATATTGAGCTGGTTCAGTTTTCTTAACAGCTGCATAATGATGCTCAGTGCGGTGGTCTTTAAATGGCTGCCATTACCTCGTGTTTGATTGATGTCTATAATGGAGCTCCAATCAAACTGATTACCTGAAAAATATCAGGATAAATGGGCTCTTTAGTGGATGATACTGTTTCTTGGATAATTCCTGGAGTTTTTAGCTCTGTATTTTTTTTTTATCTTAATGTATAACCTGTTTCTTGGTGTTATCTAAGCTGATGTTGGGACAATGTGACAGACTCCATGTCTAGCACAATATTTTTTTTTTCAAAATGAAAATGTTATCAATTTGTATTCTGAAATGTCTTGTATTTTCCAACTATATAGTAAAACCAAGTAAATTAGACACGGGGACAGAAGTAAAATATTTAAAAGTAGTGCATAAAAACATGTAAAACATTTCATTTCTAGACCCAAAGACCTGAACACCACTTAACTGATCTGTTAAATAATCTCTAGCATGTATAAACTATTGTTGGACTTATTAGAATATAACTAAATACACCAATTACCATGGGTAGGGTCAGCAAGGTTTTGTAAGAAGTGAATCTTCGTAGGCTTCAGTATTGTATAAGTAGCAGCACTGTATCAGACTGTTAAATGTGAGTGCCTTTAGGAATGGAAAATGATAGAGAATGTAATTCAAACAAACCCTTTTTTTTTTTTGAGAAGTGAATTTTTGAAGGTTACAGTTTTGTATTATATCAGAACTGGCATTATTGTCAGACTGTCTAATATGAAAGAATGGGTAGGTGGGGGTTGAGAAAGGATGTTTAACAAGTTATTAAAACCTGGGGTCTACGTATATTTATTATAGTCAAATGACTTGTTTGACTAAAAGTTTTTAATGTTTGCTTCATTTTCCTTTGTTGAATAAAATTATCAATTAGACAAAAACATATTTTGACAAGGAAACCCTCAGAGCCTGTACTATCTTGACACAGTGAAATGGAACTACTGGTCAGTTTCAACCTCCCCTCACCCCCCATGGAAAATATTAATGCATATTGATTTCCTAATGGCTTTTAAAACACAGAAATGTGAAACTGAAGAGGAAGACAGGATATGCGATTTGATGAATTTCACGTGTGATGAACAACTTTTTTAAGCAGGAAGTCGCAGGATCAATAATAATTTTTGTTGTTTGCTCAGATGGATCTTCTTGTAGCTCAGATAAAATTGTCTAGGTTTAAATGGCATATATATATATATATATCTTTTTCTGATAAAATATACATATACTTTAAAAAATTAATTAATTTCACATAGGTGTGAAACTCTTGATTGCGAAGTAGTAAGATGTTTCAAAATGTTGGGTCCTCAAGAAATAATGTTTTATTTTCGAACCATTTTAAAGTATAGAGTTTTGTCCTTTAAATGTATACAGTTATATTTTGTGGAACTTCTAACAGAATCATGATATCTTAAACTGTTGTAACCTGATCATGGCAGAGGTCCACTTCTTTAAGCACAGAGTGCAACTTTTAACTTTCTTAGATGCAGGATCACTAATAAGGGCTCTTTTTTCGTTCTCAGAAAGAAGTTCAAGACCCGGTCAGGAGAGACAGTTCGACTGGTGGATTTGCTGGACGAAGGGTTGAAGAGGAGCGAAGCAAAACTGAAGGAAAAAGAACGGGATAAGGTAAACATGTTTAACACAATGTGTTTCTCATTAGTTTTAGGGGTAAGTGTTTATTACCATCCAGATTCCTGAAATGAGTTTTTCCTGCATCAAATTATTCAATAATGCATCTACCTTTGTACTGATTTAAAATGATAAAAAATCCCCTTGAAATTATTTAATATTGCAGTTTATATTTCTTGTTGCTGTGTATAAGCATAGGCAACTCAAAGCTTTCATCATTAATTTAACGCCTTTCTATTTTGAGGTGAAATGACCATTGGTATGGGGAATAACATTCCTAAACAAGTTCTTATCACTAAAATTGGCCTAGTTGACCACTAGTATATAGGCCTCGATCCCATGCCTGCATTTTGGTTTAAATATTTTTTGTTATGGAGTTAAGAGTCCCTTATTACAGATTATCATTAAACGTAGGCATTATTTTGTTTTGTCAGCAGTAAAATCTGAACAAAAGCCTTAAAGAAAAATCACTGGCAAAAACAGTCCAATTAAATGAAATAATTGGACTGCTGGCAGGGTTTTGGAGTACTAAAAGTTGCATTAAATTGTTGTTGAAATGGTTTTCGTAGGTGTTCAGGTAAAGGAGAAATTTGAGTAATCGATTTTTCCATTTTTACCCCAAAATCCCAATTATAATGTTTCCCTTGTCATGTGTGAAAATGCTAATTAATTTAGTCACTGAACCCACGTAGATTTATTTGTTATCCAAAAGAATGTAAGTAAGGCAGATTTTGGCAAACTTTTACAGTATCCTTAAGGCACTAAGTCTGATGTTTGTATAGACATACATATATATATATAATACTGAGGTACCATGCAATTTTTAACATCTATATAGTTGGTACAGATATTGGATTGATTCACACCTTTTTACTTTCCTGTGAATGCATGCGTGTGTGCATGTGTTCTGTAAAAAGGTAAAAATCAGTTTCACACCTATTAATAAATTTTAAATAAAAGGCTTCTCAAAGCTGTTGCATGATAGCCAACTGATTCCCAGAGCTCTGACAGGTTAAGTGAGAAAATTGATTTGGGATTATTGTGGTTCCATTTAAAATGCATACCTGTCATATTTTATCATGCCTGTCACATCATCTGCAGGCATGTTTGCGTGTTACAGCTGATAATGGGAAGAATATTACATCTTTCATTAATGAATCGGTACCCTGTGAAGCAAAGGACTGGTGTTTTACTTGCTAAATGCTATTAGCATTCACATAACCAGAGCCAGTGCTACTCTTCTTACCGTTACTGTCTTTTTATAGGTCATGTACATTATTTCATTTAAATGGACTGCCTTTGATTGCTAATTTATCTTGGGTATAAGTTGACTAAGAGCACAATCAGAACACCAGACTAACAGATCCATGGATCAAATATGGCGACTCACTAAAAAGCTTGCCGCTTAATTCCTGATTAGACACTGTATAAATTCTTACAGAGTGGAGAACCTGGGATTCCATTTTTGACTAGTTTCTCCACTTATAAATTTACTTTACTTTTTCGCTAATTTCTTCTATGTAAAATGTAAAATGTTTGTATCTTGTTATGTGCAGCATCACTTGTAATATACTGTTTTGTATGTAGTCCGGCTATCTACATATATTTCATGTTTACTTAATGTATAATGAATGCTTTGTGTGTTATTGTGTGTGTGTGTGTGTGTGTTTGTGTGTGTGTCTACATATGTATTTTTGTTTGTCTTTTTGTGAATAAAAAAAAAAAAAATTCCATGTGGGGATTACGCAACAAGCATTCAAGTGGGTCAGCTATATTTAATCTGCGGATCTGTTAGCCAGCTGTTCTGAATGCGCTTTAAAATTTTGTTCTAAATTTAAAGCCTTACTTTTTTTTTCAATTTCAAATGGGTCTTTAGCATATTTCTATAAATTCATTATTGTTTTACTTCATTATTATTTTAATTTCATTAATTTATTCATCTTTTATTCATTAACACAATGTTTTGTGCTAACTCCCCAGAGGGCCATGTGTAAGATAAGTGTGTACACTTCACATGTTTTGCCCTCTTTTGATAAAGTTTATTATTATTATTATTATTATTATTATTATTATTATTATTATTATTATTATTAT